CTGCCAATGCAGGGGACACGGGTTTGTGCCCCGGTCTGGGAAGATCCCACATGCCACGGAGCAGCTGGGCCCGTGAGCCATGGCCGCTGAGCCTGCGCATCCAGAGCCTGTGCTCCGCAACGGGAGAGGCCACAGCAGTGAGAGGCCTGCGTACCGCAAAAAAAAAAAAAAAAAGGTAATCATTACATTTTATGGATAAGGAAATTGTGAGGTATTAAATAACTTTGTCAAGGTCACAAGTTATTAGGTTTCAGAGTCACACATGAGACTTGGATCTGTCAGACTCTGAAATCTATGCTCTTAATCACTGTGCTATAAAGGGGAAAAACCAATTTTACCATTAAGGACAATCCCAAATCCAATTTAACCATTAAGGCCGTTCCCATGCACACTTTTGGCCTGTCTCAGAGAATGGAGACCATTGACAGCTTTCCAAGTTTATGATTTTCAACCTCACGGGCCCTCAGTGTCATTATTGTAGTGGCTCCTACAGTAAAACATAAGATTTTACAAATTTGGGGAGAAAATTTCCTCCCCCAAATAATGGGGCTAACGAGACCAACAACCCATGAAACTGATAGAGATAGAGGTTACTTCAATGTGAAAACATCTGAACATGGCTTATCTAACTAGTATAGAGCTTCAGGAGAGTCAGCTGCCACAAACCCCATTTCTAGGGAGGTCTCCAATCAGAGAGGCACTGACCTTGGGCATCAGGACATCTCCAAATAATTGTACAAACAACACTCATAACTTTCCATCCTTTGAAGCCCTAAACCAACTCCCTTGTCTTACTAAGCCAGGATGTAAACCTTTCTCCATAGCTGTACGAGGAGTTACTTTCTACGTAGGATATTCCACTGTGTGTAACAAATTTTTCTCTGGTTTATCTGTTCTCAGCTAATTTACAGGTCTCCTTCCACTTCCAACAATCGGACCTAAGTTGGTAGAGGAGTTTTTCCTCCCAACAGGGTTCACAGTAAGTTCATTAAAAAAAAAAAAAAATCGTTAAAACCAATAAATAGGAAGACATAATGTCAGAATAAAGGACAGTACTTTAAATGGATGCATGTAGTTTTATATGTATCACTTGTCCTTATTTTACTCATTTTGATGCCCACCTGTGATAAAGACAAGAGTCTTTGGATCAGCCTTAGGGAACCATTTCCGTAGTTAATTTGGTTCCCCAGGAGTGGTTTCTCTTTCTTCAAGTTCACTACTTCAGTGTGTTACCTTTTACTAATTAAGTTAGTAAAGAAGGAGACTAGTCAAGAGGGCGCTCTCTGAACTCTAGGCTGCCCCTCCCTAAATAGAGGCAACCTTTTCTTTAGGGCCATTGATGATTTGTACTCCTCTGTGGTTCCAGTTTCTTTGTTTCCTAAGCAGGCTCTTTCTATGATAATACAGGTTTTACTGCTGATCACTACAGTAGAAGAAATAAACCGAATCTACAGACATAGATAAGACAAAGACTTAGTAGCTAGTCTTTGTGTTTCTGATGCCCAGAAAGAGATAAAGACTTGATCAAAGTCACAGAGCTTCAAATGACCCTTAGAAATCATCCTGTCTACTTGAGAACACAAAAATAACACATGGGGTGTTAGACAATCTCTTAGTTTTTGAAATTCTGCAAGTTTGGTATTATTCTTTATTTAGCTCACTTTCCAGAAGAGGAAACTGAGGCTCATAGGTTAAGTAACTACCCAAAGGTAAGGTGGAGATGGAATCTGAATTCAGGCTTTTTTGACATCAGAGCTCATGACCTTTCCCCTATACTTCATGCCAACAAAGCTAAAGAAATTTTACAAAGTCCTTAAAGATATCCAATCACGATTTAAAGAAATCTTGACTCTGGTTTCCTAATTTCATTTCAGAAGTTTAATTTCTTGAAACTTCCCAATTTCTATGTTTCTGCACTATCCTTCCCCTACCTATTCAGAGTTTTCAGGAAAAGGGTGGGGCATGTCAGTGAAGGCTCTCTAAAGGAAGTGACATCTCAGTGAGATCAGAAGGATTAATAGGAATTACTTAGTAGGGGGAGGTGGCATGGACAACAATGAATGTGCAAAGGTACATTTCTAGAACTGAAACAATTTCAGTACCTAATTTTTTTTTAAATTTATTTTTGGCTGCATTGGGTCTTTGTTGCTGTGTGTGGGCTTTCTTTAGTTGCAGCGAGTGGGGGCTACTCTTCGTTGTGGTGTGCGGGCTTCTCATTGTGGTGGCTTCTCTTTGGTGCAGAGCACAGGCTCTAGGTGCGTGGGCTTCAGTAGTTGTGGCTCGCAGGCTCTAGAGTGCAGGCTCAGTAGTTGTGGCGCGTGAGCTTAGTTGCTCCGTGGCATGGGTCAAATGGGTCACTTGGGTCAAATGCTGCTGAACAAATAAGATGAGAGAGGAGTGACAACTGAATTTAGCAACTTTGAAGTTGACAAGAACGGTTAGTAGAGTAGCAGAGGTGAAAGAAAATGGTAAGAGAAAAATTGGAGACAGCAAGTGCAGACCACATTTTGGATAAGTTTTGCTCTAAAGGATGGAAGAGATGTGAGGGCAATACCTGAAAGGGAAATTAGGTCAAAAGAAGTGTTTTTTTGTTTTTATTTTAATTATGGGAAAAATATCAGCTGGTGGGAATGATCCAAGAAGGAGGGGGAAAAATGATAATTCAGGAGAAAGGATGTTGCTGGATGATGTCTTTGACTAAGCAAGGGAAGATGAGATCTATTGCACAAGTCCAGAGTTGGCCTTAGATAAGGGTATAAATAGTTCATAGTAATAGGACGGAATGCAAAGACAGAGAGCCTGTACTGGTAGGTGGGTAGATGTGATGGGGGTAGCTTGGAATATTCTTTTTGATTCTTTTCTTTTTTCAGTGAAAGAGGAAACTGACAGTATGGTTGGGGGAAGAGGTGTTGGAGAGTTGATAGAAGTTAGGAAATAGTCCATTTAATGTACTCTAATATAAAATAAAAATTAAATTTAAAAAAGTATACCTGAAACTAACACAACATTGTAAATCAACTATAGTCCAATCTAAAATAAAAATTAAATTTAAAAAAGAACATTGATTGGATTTGGATTTAGAAAACTCAACTTTGACTCCCAGGTTTTCCGCGCATCAGGTAGGTAAAATTTAACTTGTCTGTTCAATCCCTCAGGTAGTTCAGTTTCTCTGTGGGTAAAATGGAGATACCTAAGGCCTGGGATTTCTATTTGTATGAGGATTAAATAAAAGAATAAATGTGAAAGGAAAGCATTTTGCAGTTATTTGAACTTGAAAAATAACTTTAACATTTGAATCCACTTATCAAGGACTTGTTTCATTACTCATTTTCATGTGTTTTACATAATCTTTTTTTTTCTATTTTTTTTTTGTCGTGCAGCTGAGGGATTTCAGTTCCCCTACCAGGGATTGAACCTGGACCATGGCAGTGAAAGCGTGGAATCCTAACCACTAGACCACCAGGGAACTCCCTACATACATTATCTTATTTAATCCTTATATTAACCCTGTGAGATAAGGCATTCTCATCCCATTTTACTGATGGGGAAGTTGAGCTTCAGAGAAATTAAAAACCTTGTCCAAGGTTCACAAGTTAGTAGGTGGCTGAGCAGGCATTCCAAAGCAGGATTCAAATCCAAGCCCCCTACTCTCAATAACTATCCTTTTCCAAGACATATTTTCTCTTAAATTAGCTAAAGTGTACTAATTCACTACTCTCTCAGGGTTTCTTTCTTGCAGCAGGTTAGAAGGGTCTTCTCCATACTTTTTAGGTCACAAGAAAGCTGAGCAGTTCAGTTTGTGTACTTACTAGATCAGAAGTGGTTTTGATATTTGATTCATCCAATGTCAGTAGAAGGTGAAACAGAGGTCTGATATAAGAGAGGTACTGTTGCCAGATGTGTAGGAGAAAGGACTTTAAAAAATAGATTTCAAAATGTAGGGGCTTCCCTGGTGGTGCAGTGGTTAAGAATCCGCCTGCGCTGCCAATGCAGGGGACACAGGTTCGATCCCTGGACTGGGAGGATACCTCGTGCTGCGGAGCAACTAAGCCTGTGCGCCAAAACTACTGAGACTGTGCTCTAGAGCCTGTGAGCCACAACTACTGAGCCCGTGTGCCACAACTACTGAAGCCTGCATGCCCTAGAGCCCGTGCTCCGCAACGAGAAGCCACCGCAATGAGTAGCCCCCGCTCGCCGCAACTAGAGAAAGCCTGTGCCCAGCAACGAGGACCCAACACAGCCATAAGTAATTAAAAAATGTATACAATCAGCCCTCCTTATCCACGGGCTCTCCATCCCTGGATTCAACCGCTATGGAAGATGTTCAGGAAAAAAATTCCATAAAATTTCAAAAAGCAAAAGTTGAATTTGCCAGTACCAGCCGCTATTTACACAGCATTTACATTGTATTAGTATAAGCACTCTAGAGGTGATTTGAAGTATAGTGGACAAGGTGCCTAGGTTATATGCAAATGTTACACCATTTTATATAAGGTACTTCAGTTTCAGAGGATTTGCATACGGTGGATCCTGAAACCAATGTCCCTGGGGACACGGAGGGCCCACCACATTCTATTTCCCGACTCCACAGAGCTGGTCCATGGCCATGCCTTTGACCGGCAACAAGAATGTGGTACCTAGCCCTATGGTGTCGGTTGGAGGGAGACGGTCTCAGAGGGATGTGTAGGAGTTGGGCGAGTGGTTCGGAAGGCCTAAGGTTGGTCTCTGGAGCGTCAAAAAGGCGGAAGAACGGCTGTTGGGCCCTCAAGGCGTGGAGGGGTGGTCGGCCCGGTGTGGGTGGGGAAGGCCGTCCTGGGGGCGGGGTCTGCGGCGGACGAGTGCTTTACAAAAGCCCAAACCTTCCGCAAGAGCGCAGAGTGCCTGCCCGCCGAGCGGGCGCTGTTCAGCTGCTTTCCGGTGCCGGTCGAGACCACCTCTCGCGGGATCCGGGCCCGCTCGACGGCCGCTCTCTCCTCGACGCCTCTCCGGCGGGGCTCGCCATGGTTCACTTCTTGCACCCAGGCCTCTCGCCCCGGACTATCGTCCCTCCGGACGCTCATAAGGACGACCTGGGCTGCGGCGTGGCGCAGGTGAGCACCGGGGAGGGGGAGGGGGGAACGCGAGCCTAGGCGGGACGCCAGGCCCCTGGCGAGCACGGCGAGTCGTCGGGGACTGTGTTGAGGCACTTGTTGGCTCGTTTGACCGACGCGGGGGTAAAGTCTGAAGAGGCTGAGCCCCCTGCCAGGCTTCTATCTTTTATGGGAAGTGCATGCCGGAGAAGAGTTTTCCTCCCAGGGCGTCCCAGCCTTGGAGCCGAGCGAGCAGACCCTGCGCAGCTGAGAGGAGGGGCGGCGGGATGAGTCCCGCCTCCCGCGTGACCTTGGGCGAGTCCCGTGCTCAGGTCTCTGATGCTCACCTGTGCCTGCGAGGGCGGCAGCTATTTTGCAGGGTGGTGTAAATGTAGACGTAAGTGCTGGGCATGGCTTTAGACTTGGCCCGTAGTAGACGGTGGCGCTTTTTGTCATGATGCACCCAAATGCCTCAAACCTCGACCGTTCCCGGTGTGTTGGGGATCTGTTGCTTCCCAGAGGCCGTGACCTGTCGGTCCCGGGATCGTTAACAGGAAAGACCTTCTGAGCCCGGCGGGGGGCACTGGAGCCCGGAAGACTGAAATTCCTTAAATTCCACGTGTTTGTTTCCCTCTCTTTTCCGTCGGAATGCCTGTTAGACTAAACTGAGTAAAATGCAAACCAAAAGAGTTTGTATTTGGTGCCTACTGTGTGTCAGGTATTGCATTTCTAGAGTAATCTCGGATTTTTTTGTAGGCATTTTACTGGTGTATAGGGAAATTGAGAACCGTTCCTTGACTTTCTAATGATCTGGAGCCTGACATCAGTTGTTCTGATGTCAGACTCCATGTTCTACAACATCCCAAGGGCTACCGCTCTTAGAACTCAAAATCTAATGAACGCTCAACCCACAATTAGTATGGGGGGGGGGAAGGAAATATCCTGATTGAGGTTGTACTTTACACGCTGACGCCGTGTTGGCTTTTGTGTCCTTCAAAGATCTAGCCTGTATTCCTGTAGACCCTTTTGGACTCACTTTTAAAAGCTGCCTAAATAATTTGTAAATCTGTTTGTAGCTAATGGAAAAGCTGCGTTTTTAATGTATGTACTGATACAGCGTGTCAAGCACATTTTTTGTTGGCGCTGACTGGAATTGAAAAACAAGGTTTTCTTTAGAAAAGTGATCAGACTAATAATCCATTTTCTGTCTGGTTCCATACTGTACTATGTACACTCGTTTTTTTGGTTAAGATTTTATTTTTAATTAATTTTAAAAGTTGTACAATGCATGAATACTTTTCCTTTAGATATATTTCTCTATGCTGTTTTTAATTTTATTTAGCAGTGTTTTGTAGTTTTTGGTGTAAAGGTCTTTTACAATATTTTGTTAAATTTATCCCTGTTTTTGATAGTACTGTAAATACTTTTTAACAGTTTATAATTTGGGGGGTATATTGATCTTGTATCCTACAACTTCGCTAAAGCCACCTATTTTCTCCAGTTTTTTTAAGATTTCTTAAGATTTTCTTTACAATCTGTCATCTGCAAATAAAGGCAGCTTTACTTATTCTCTTTCAGTCTGTGCTTTTTATTTTCTTTTTTTTAAAATGCATTTTCTAGGACCTTTTGTAGAATGTAGAAGTGGTGAGAATAGACATCTTTGTATTGTTCTAGATCTTTCACCTCCAAGTATGATACTGGCTGTAGGTTTTTCCGTTAGATGCCCTTTGTCAAATTAAGGAATTTTTCTTCTATTCCTAGTTTAATGAGTTTTTTGTGTGTGTGTGGTACGCGGGCCTCTCACTGTTGTGGCCTCTCCCGTTGCGGACAGGCTCCGGACGCGCAGGCTCAGCGGCCATGGCTCACGGGCCCAGCCGCTCCGCGGCATGTGGAATCCTCCCAGACCGGGGCACGAACCCATGTCCCCTGCATCAGCAGGCAGACTCTCAACCACTGCGCCACCAGGGAAGCCCTGTTTTTGTTTTTTTAAATCATGAATGTGTGTTGAATTTTGTTAAGTGCTTTTTCAGCATTTAATAAGATGTTTTTGTTCTTTATTGTGTTAATGTGGTGGATTTTATTGATTGTGAATTTAACTTTACATTCTAGGAATAAACACCACCTGGTCATGATGTATTATTTTTATATATCGAAGAATTCTATTGCTAATATTTTTGAAATATTGTTTACGTCCATGTTTATGAGGCAAATTGCTCTTTAAAAATATTTTATCTGGGAATTCCCTGGTGGTCCAGTGGTTAGGACTCTGCGTTTTCACTGCTGTGGGCCCGGGTTTGATCCCTAGTTGGGGAACTAAGGTCCCACAAGCCACGCGGCAAGGGCAAAAAAAAAAAAAAAAAAAAAAAATTATCTGGTTTTAGTATCTAGATAATGTTTGCCTTAAAATATGAGTTGGGAAGTGTTCCCTATTCAGTTTTTTGAGTTTGTGGGATATTGGTATTATTTATTCCTTAGATGTTTAACAGAATTCACCAGTGAAACCATTGAGACTTTAATTTCTTTGGGGGATTTTTTTAAATTTTTATTTTATATTGGACTATAGTTGATTTACAATGTTGTGTTAGTTTCAGGTGTACAGCAAAGTGATTCAGTTATACATATATCTATTCTTTTTCAAATTCTTTTCCTCTTTAGGTTATTACAGAATATATTAAGCAGAGTTTCCTGTGCTATACAGTAGGTCCTTGTTGGTTATCTGTTTTAAATATAGTAGTGTGTTATGTCAATCCTAAACTCCCAATTTATCCCTCTCCCTGAGGGAAGGTTTTAAACTATATCTACTTCTTGGGGGAAATGCTCATAAATTTTGATATATTGTTAAAAATATTTTATAAGTACTGTTAAGAGTCCTTCTTTGACCCATGGGATATTTAGAAGTGTACTGCCTAATTCCCAAATAGTTGGGGATATTCCACATATCTTTTTGTTTAATGCAAATACATTGTTGTCAGATAACATGTTCTGTGATTTCAATCCATTTATATTTATTGAGATTTGTTTTATGGCTCAGATATTATCTATCTTGGTGCATGTTCATGTGCACTTAAAAGGAGTATGTGTTCTGTAGTTGGGTATAGTATTCTATGAATGTCAGGTCAAGTTGATTGAGAATGTTAATCTATATTCGTCTTTTTTTTTTGGCCACACGGTGTGGCATGCAGCATCTTAGTTCCCCTACCAGGGATCCAACCTGTGCCCCCTGCAGTGGAAGCGCAGAGTCCTAAGCACTGGACTGCCAGGGATTTCCCAATGTTAATCTATATTCTTACTCATTTTCCATCTACTTGTTTTTATCAGTTGCTGAAGACAAGTGTTAATTTCCAACTGTAATCATCAGTTTTTCTGTTTATTCTTTCAGTTTTTACTTTATGAACTTTGAAGCTGTTAGTAGGTGCATATACATTAGGAATTATGTCTTCTTGATGAATTCATCCTTTTATCATTATGAAATGTCCATCTTGATTTCTGATAATATTCTTTTCCTGAAGGCTTCTTTTTCTGACATTAACATAGTCACTCCAGTGTCCGTATGATTAGTGTTTTTTAAACAATGCTGTGTTGTTTAAAGCCCATCTCTTGTAAACAGCAGGCTTGCTTTTTTAATCCAGTTTGACAATCTGTGCCTTTTAAATTAGAGTAAATATAATTATCAAAATTGTTGTGTTTAAGTTGCTGTTTGTGTTCTATTTGTCCTATGTGTTTGTTGTCGTGTTTCTCCTTTGCCTGGCTTCTTTTCAACTGAGTATATACATATATTTTTTTTGGCCATGCTGCGCAGCTTGCGGAACCTTAGTTCTGCGACCAGGGATTGAATTTGCACCCTCAGAAGTGAAAGCACGGAGTCCTAACCACTGGACTGCCAGGGAATTCCCTCAGTTGAGTAGTTTTAAAGTTTCATTTTATCTCTTCTGTTGACTTACTAGTTCTGTTACTCTCCTTTCCCTGCCCCACCCCAACTCTCTTTAATGGTCACTCAAAGATAGCAGTTTTTTAAATGTGGACTCAAGACCTCTGGGGTCTCTAAGACTGCATTCCCTTTCATTAAGTCACACATTAATGAAATTTGCAAAAATGTAAAACAGTGCTGCCGTTGTCACTAAACTTTTAAAAATTCTTTTTGAAAATATAGCTGTTTTAAAAAAATGTTCTTTCTTGGGAATTCCCTGGAGGTCCAGTGGTTAGGACTTGGTGCTTTCACTGCCGAGGCCAGGGTTCAATCCCTGGTCTGGGAACTAAGATCCTGCAAGCCACACGGTGTGGCCAAAAAAAAAAAAAAATGTTCTTTGTGTCAACATTTGATTTTTATTTTAACTTTTATTATTTCTAAATGAATTAATACATATTTTAAAGATTTCTTAGTTTTAATGCAGAAAATGTTGAAAGATGTAATACAATTTTTAAGAGTATAAAGGGGTCCTAAGTTTGAGAGTCACAGCTCCAGGTTTTAAAATATACATGTTTGACTTACCACAGTCTACTTTTAAATATATCACTTCACCTTACAACAGTATTCTTTCATTTTCTCACCTCTTTCCTGTACTTTGTACTTTTGAAATAATACATTTTACTTCTCCATGTTAGAAATTGCACAATATATTGTTTTTACTTTTTCTTTGATCAATCAGTTATTTCTTAAAGGAATTAGGAAATAAGAAAAAAAGTCTGAAAATGTCTTTATTTTACTTTTATTTCTGAAAGATATTTTCATTGCACTTAGTTTTTCTTTTTTTTTAATATTTATTTATTTATTTATTTGGCTGCAGTGGTTCTTAGTTGTGGCATGCGACATCTTTAGTTGTGGCATTCTAACTCTTAGTTGTGGCACATAGGATCTAGTTCCCTGACCACGGATCAAACCTGGGCCCCCTGCATTGGGAGCGTGGAGTCGTAACCGCTGGCCCACCAGGGAAATCCCTGAAAATGTTATTTCATTGTCTTCTGGCTAGTATTGCTTCTGATGAAAATTTAGTGGTCATACTTCTTTTTTTTTTTTTTAAACT